TTTGATTTCCATTTAATTAAGTGCTATCAAGTACATTAAATTCCAAGTCATTTGATCTATAGCGAATCTATACAAAAATTCCACAGATGAATTACAACTAATTACACTTGACTCATTTTTAAGTAACACGTCAAATTTCGTATCGTTCAATGCCAATTTCGTACAGAAACTTGAGTTTTAGAATATATACATTAACATTTCTTGAATCCTCCTTTCAACATTGTGTCACAGAAAGTGGTCCTATTATACCATGAACAAATCAAACCCGCATTCCTTTACAGCCTTTCAACTCACGGATCTATCCGATGAACCTTCTCGGAAAGTCAATGTGCAGTTAAAACTGGCTGAAACTTTGGATTACTGAACGACCATGCGATGGTGCATTTTTTTTTTTTTCTTTACCGATCGTCGAAGGCTAGGCCTAAAATCGAAAGTGAATACACTGGCTCTCGGTAGAAAGTGAAATTACGCTGGCTGTGCGCATGCTTTTCCTGCCATCTGCGTAATAGCGAACCACTCGATCGTCGAGGAGAAGAGAATACACGAAGGGAAAGGATCGATTTGATACGAGGAGCCGACGGGTCGGCGCTGATTGATAGATCGCCGATAGCTAGAAAGAGCGGATCGTCCAGAACGATTGATCGTTCGTCGTGATCTCGATTATCGGGGCTCGGTCTGTGAAAGGAGAGACCTTACGACTGGAGCCGGTCTGTTCGACCCGAATTTCTAAACGATCGATAAAAAGAGTTCGATCGATTCGCGGATCTCGAGGCACGGTCAAGAGTGGAAAGAAGTAACAATGATTGGGGATTTGAAGGTGAAATTATCTGTTATCAAGGGACATTTCGTGTGACTGTGATTCGAGAGAAAATTTGGACATTTGTTTAAAGAATTATTTTATCAATAAAACACTGGATGCATTTCTTATTCATTGACGAAATTTTGTCTCAATAATAATATGGAATAATGTGTAGAACATTTTGAAGTTTCATTGATATCTACGTTAATGCGATTGTCATGATTACATCGGTCAAGTTTGGAGTGCATTATTGAAAAGTTTTGCGTACGTAGAAATTTTGTAAATTAACAAGAATTTAATATCTTCTATCTATAAAACATAAAAGAAAACAAAATGAAAATTTCCAAGAAAGTGTTTTTATCGCGAGTGCCAATATTATTCAATTCTCACTTTTCCCTATTTTTACTCCTTTATTTCTTTTTTCCTCCCAAGTTAACAAAAATAATGGAATACAAACTTCGATCTACTTTTAGTTTTTTACAATCATTTTCTTGCACCGTCAAATATTTTAAAAGAATTATCTAAAAATTTTATACATGTAAATAATTTAACATAACCATAATAAATGTCTCTATTCCAATTTCCAAGCTGTTTCTTATGTCTCGTTAGAATCGCTTTCTCATTTCATGAAAATAATTTTCTAATTTTATTAAGCAACGAAATTCGTATTCACTGCAGCGTAAAGTAAATTCAAAGAACAAAGTTCAGTTCTATTTTCCATAATCCCTTTCTCCACGTTCGATAATATCCATGTCGAAAACCACTCTCGAAACCGTTCATTACGTCATACTACGTCATTTTGTCTTTAGTTGTTTACAAGTGTCAAGTTATGCTGTAACATTGAAAGTTAATCGGGCGATAAAGTTTTCAAATGTTCTCTTTCGCTTTCTGTAAGTTTTCCCCCATGAGACGAGTTTCTTCTTCCTTGACGAATTCGTTTCAAGAAATCGACTAATGCACCGTAATCATTGTAAAATACCTTCATTTTTTTTTCTATTTCAATTCGATCGAAGGCAATTTTTTAATTTTTTACTGAAAATTTTAATACAATTACAAATACTTAATATTTTATGCTTTTTATTATAACTTGTCTGACTGAAAGTATTTAAATATTCCCTATGAATATATTATTCATCAATTATATTAATTTTCTATGTTACAGCGAATATTTAAAATTTAATAAATACTCTGACTAACTAATGTAAAATTTTTTACAGTATACAATGTTTGTTTATTTCTAGTAAATGTATTCAAATTGCTCTGCTTTAAATCCAAATTTCATATACTTTCTTTCATACAGAAGTTCCTTTCAATGGAATATTTATAAATCATATTTATTAAAACGATCAATAGAGACTTTAGAATCATATTTCACTTTATTAATTTTTAATAACTTTGATTAAAATATGTCATAGACTTTTATTTAATTGCATCATATTCAAAAACAACAAAACAGACCTTCTACAAGTAGAATGTTGGTCTATAGTCAGACCAATTCTTAATTGTTTTGTTCCTCAGTTTTACAGTCGTTTAAGATTTATATGAGCTTCCTTTTCTAGTTCATTAAAATATAAAAAATAATAATAAAAATAAATCTTTTTATATTATATATGTATTTATACTACTAACAATACTAGTTAGTAGTTTAGGTAGCTTATAGTCAGACAAATCTCAGTTACTTCATTGTACCCTATCCTATTTAGGATGAGTTTCTTGGTATTTACTAAAATATGAAAATTAGTATAAATACAATTTACATTTCGTAAATTCAGTGGCCTATGTACATTTAATTTATATAATGAAAAAACAATGGTAATATACATATGTAAGTAACAATAATGAAACTGTTATGATAATAGCAGTCAGTAGAATTATTTAAGTTATCTTAGAGAAAAAAAAACCCAATTATTTTATCTCATAATGTAAGATAAGGTCTCTAGTTCATTCGAATATAAAAAGTAATATATTTTTTTATATTTGATATAAAAAATGCATTAATGATAAAGTCAAATTACAAAAATAGTTATGATATTTATTGAGAGAACTGATTTTTATTTATTCTTGTAATCTTTTTTTACGCAAAAGTTGTGAGCAATCGCGTACTTGTTCAACGTTCAACGTTCTAAAACTAGTACATCAGATTACCATATAAGTATTAATCATTGACATTTGAGTTCTTTTTAACTGGGACATACTTGTAATCCTTATCATGATGATTTATATTCTTTTTAGTAGTGTAGTGACAACTATAAAATATCATGAAATTAATTAGATTTACGAGTGTTCCTCTCAAATGATGTTCACCATGTTATATTCATTATAAGATTTCAATTTTTTTTTTAATCATCACGATTTTGAAGAGGATTCTTAAATTCTTGTATAAAGAATTATTTTAAAATTTCTTCTTCGAAATTCATGGATGGTATCTTTGCGTTTGTAAGCAGTCTAAAAATATACAAGAATATGTATCACATCAAAATTAAAATTTTTCTATGCTTCAAAAGAATGGAATTTTACTCGAGAACCACAAACTTTCATTCAAATTAAATTATGTCTATATTTTATCCCTTGCAAAGGAATAAAATTACATTCAAGAAGAATAGAATTTTACTGAAAGAAGAAAAGATTTTTATTCAACACATCTAAAACTTTGCAAAAAAAAAAAAAATTAAAATTATAAAATTATGGCAAAAATATTAACTCATATCTTCGAAATTATATTTCTCTCTCTCTCTCTAAAGAAAGAAAAAATAAATTTCAAACGTGAAGAAAATCAAGACATTGATCGTCGATGTGACTTTGGTCCCCTAATGAGTTAAAAATCGCAAAAATGAAAATGTTACTCACGTAGTCCGGCGACGGCAGCTCCGGTCCAGCTGGCAATCAGTAACAATCCGATCAGCAACGTCATCCTATCGCTATCTGGTGTCAGGAGGACGTGATCTACGTATCAGCGCGGATCGAAATTAGCGAGAGCGATATTGAAAATGCGTATGATGGCCCGCGTTACCTCGGTATATATGAACTAACGGCACTTTCTCCGAGTGTACGCTGCCCCACTCGATGGTAGAATTTATCACGGTAGAATGCCTTCTTTTAACTCAGTCAGGGCCGTAGCCATGCACACTGTCCTCTATTTGAAAATATAAATTAAAATTCGCGTTGCTCATCGCGTGGAGGTAGGTCAAGACGGTTCTAATCGCTAGTAGAAATTTTGGTGAACAGTGATGCGGAGGATTTAATCTGCTGCTGAGGTAACGTGAAGTGATTCATAGTCTTGGTTCGATACTCTCTGTAGTGCCTTTTCCTTTTTTTCGTGTAGTAGAATGCTCTTCTGTTTTGTTATCTTATGTTTTCTTCTCTTAAGTAAGATTTTTATTTATTGTTCATTCAATTGATCTTCGGTGAGAAATTTTGGAGAACAGACTGTGAAGGAGTTAATCTATTGCTAAGATAATTTATCGCGAAATGTTTCTTGCGAATTTTTCTTCTTAATTTTTGTGGTTTACTCTGCTTCTTCTTTAGTGACAATAATTCTTTTATTTTATTTTTGTTTTTTTTTTTAATTTCTTTGAAACTCTGTATTTATTATGGTTATTCGTCCAATTAGACTTTGGTGAGAAATTCCGGAAAATATGATATGGTTCCATTGTCTTGGTTGTGTATCTTTTCCTTTTTTAATGACAGTAAGCTGTTATTCTCTCCTTTTATTTAATAATTTGAACATTTCTTCAATCTTCAACATCAAAGAAACTATTTTCCCATAAATAAATAAATATTTAACAATATATCTTAAGGAAAACAATAATAATATTTGAGATAATATTTTATTATTATCATTTTCCATCGTATGTTATAAATAAACGAAATAAAAATTCAACGATTGAAATTCAGAACAAAGAGAGAGATCAAAAAGAGAGATTATCCTAACGTAATATTTAACATGTTATAGCAATTAATCAATTAATTTCGTCAAGTATTTTCATAATTAAAAAAATTGCAAATAATTTTAGAAATACTTTTAACTTAAATGTTTACAATATATACGGACTAACAAATTGTTTGCAACTCGAATTAATCAGAATTAAATGCATCCTTTAGTAGTAAATTTTAATTGTGCATTTACAATCGTTGAAAGAATTCGATAATTAAATAACAGATCAAGTATGTCGAGAGTGAATTATATAATCAACCACGTTACACAATTGTCGCAAGCTTCCTTGTGCCGACTCTGGAAAGTAAGAATCATTAATTATTTAGAAGTCTTGTCAGAGTTTTCAGAGTAATCGATTTTACATTTACATAATATTGTAGTGTATAATAATCGGACAAACTGTAGAAAGTTATGTTTGTACGCGTAAAAAAAATCGTTCGTTTTTCGTGGCTGATGGTTTGCCTCTGTAAAACATGTTAAGTAATATACATTAAGAACAAGCTACCCGTATTTATGCATTTCCGAATGCATAATTTATGAGTGCAAAATTTTATGGGGTTTATAAGGTACGCAAAAATATCGAAAGTGAATTTCTTACTATAATATAATATTTAGTACATCAAAACAAGTTTTTATTTCAGTTGCTCCTCGTAAAAATCTAAAATTCGATAAATATTCATGGTCGTAAGTTATAAGTAATTTTATATTTTCAAATGATGTTTTGCAGTACTATATTGCAAACAAATATTTACATCCCAATTTTAATTATTCGTTTCAAATTAATTCATCAATTAATTCACTGTTATAATTTATTGTGTTGTATATATTTAAAGTGTTTCATTCTTATTCATAAAATATTATTATCACTTAAACATAGTTTAAAAGTATAATGTTTTATAGTTTTATTAAATAATTCAATAATATTAGAAGAAATATTAGAAAATTATAAATTGGTAATATATTTAATATGAGTTATGACTTTCAAATAATCTTTCATCGATTCTTTTATTGATTGATGAAATTATCAAAATTAGATGTGGTTAATAAATGAAACGCAATTTAGAATATTATATCCTTTAAAAATAAAGTATCAAAAATCCAATTCTTTTCTATAGAAATTGTATTTTGCACATAAGAAAAATTTTTTTAGAATAAGGATCAGATTTCTTTATTTTTAAAAATAAGTATCTGTCATTCACTAACATTTTTCTACAAATAAATTTTCTAACAAACAAAATTCTCACTAAACATTTAAACGATTGGACAACAAAATTCTATTTCTCCTTCGTACCATGTATATTGAATTTTAATTTGATCCTTTTCCAGTAATGTCTTCCGTCGATTACAGCTTCCTTTAACAACATCCTGCATTGTAATTTCTCTCGCTGAGAATAGCGATAATAATTTTCCTCGCAATGATTCGTCGTTAACCTAATGATCATTGCGTCCTTGTTGCAAATTCTGCCTAATGTTTCGCGTGATTCTCCACGATTTCGAAAGAGCACGATAAAAAATAATAGTTTCGGGAAATCGTCGTTCAGAGAAAATTTTTTTTACTGGAAGTTGGAAAAATTTCGATTACAAATTTTCCTAAGATTTTGCAACGACCTGTTTGCAACACTTAGGCCACAAGCATCGTGAATCATTCTGTGTGTTGCTTTGCAAAAAGTTCGAGACGCAAAGGTGTTAATTTTAATTAAAACTTTTCTTCTTTTAATGCTAATCGCGAAATGTTGCAATAGTTTCGTTCGCTGAAATTGAGGTTCTTTTTTTTTCTGAGCTTTAAGTAATTCTCAAACGTTGAAAATTTCGTAGCTCGTGCCAACTTTCGAACTTTTTTATTGAAGGTTTTTTGCGGTGTTCATGATTTATGATGAAATAAAGTTTATGTTTAGTAGAGGATCTTATTCCTTCCTCGAGTAATATTTAATATTGTTTTTAATTTTAATAGTACAGGTTTTTATATATAATGTTGTTACAGATAATGTGTAAAAAAATTATTATAGTTAATAAATTGTAATTTTGAATCTGTACTATTAAAATTATATAAATATACTATAATACAATTTTCATATTTGGTGTAAAATAAAATCAATAAAAAGGAGAGTTGTAAAAGGGATTTTCTATGTAATGAATATGGAGAATTATAGAAAAAAATTACATATAATGTTTTAAAAGATTATTGAGAAATATCAAGTGACACGTAGAAATGTGTCAAAAACATTAAATTCATTCTCTATATCAAGAGATTCTTATTTCATATTTTAAATACTTTTATTTTATCATTTTTTAAATACATTGAAATATTCCTATATATCTACGTACATGCAATATAATGTTAGTAAGTTATATTTGTGCATGATCCATTTCTAACACATTTCATAACAGAAAATCCATATTTCCTTTGAGATAGCATTCTACCACTATTACCACTATTGCATGTAATGTGTAACCATGTTCCATAATCCAGTTCTAACGTCATAGCTAGTCATTATATTGGATTTTTATGCAGCATAGAAAATTTTAATATAAGAAAGTGCATAAAACATTCGAAGCGTAATGTTTTTAACAATATTTGAACAATTAAAATAAGCATAAAATACTGTTGCATCTTTCAATAATATTTTTCAATTAATTTCATTCTAAAAAACGAGTTTGTATAAAAGTTCACTTCTAATATCGAAAGTAAATTCTAAAGAGATATTATGTAATTTAAATTAGATCGTTATACGTTCAATGAACACGTAGACCACTATTTCAACACATTTAATTCCTTTCCTACTTTTTATTGTAGTTCTGTCGTTCAAATACTTAATCAACACATCCGTATAGTCTATGATAGCTACTTCGTCAATATAGTATTGATCGTTGAAAGAAAACAGGTGTATCAATTATTTCTTTCTCAAGAGAACAACTTTTTCCAATTCTTATTTTAATGCTTGAACTACCAGATTAAAAGAAAAAAAATCTAGTGCGTGTTTCTCAATCTTTAAATATATCCAAAAAAATACTGGACTGAAGAAAACCAATTAAATGTAGATAAGTAATTCGTAGAAATTTTGTAGATTTTTTTTACGGTGAATTTTTGAAGATTCGAATGAGTCTTATTTTTTAAAGAAATTTAAATTTTTTTGAAAAAAGAATTTTGTATTATTTTAATTCTCGTAATATTAAAATTTGTAGTTTCAGCATTAAAATGTCAAAACTTTTTCGCCACTTTTTTCTAAAGATCAGCATTCAATCGATATTACTTCGCTTTATCTCTACTATGCATTGTAACGAAAGTGTTCAGAACGTTGTATTACAATGTGCCACAACCCAATTATGTATAATAATATCCTATTACAAAATTCCAATATTCAACCCAACTAAAAATAATATTAATATTCTAATCCTAATAAACGTAACACTAAAACCGATAACATCGATCAATGTTAATTTTAAGATTAAACTTCCAAATAACTCTACAACATCCTAGTTAATTCGAAACAAAATTACCTAAAAAACTAGACTGCCCGATCAATTAAAAAAAATGAACAAAGAAAGGAAAATTACTGATTCTGTCGAATTTCTACACGTTTGTCGAGTACTTTCCCCGAGTATCGGTGTTGTTGTAACTCGAATTTCCCAAATGTGATTATGTAAAATCTGACGAATCCCGACTGGTTCCGTGATGGTGTCACGAATGATACGTAACGTTCAGGAACCCGTTTGCAAATCGCATCACTGCAACCACACAACTCGAAGAACAAGTTTTTCGTCTGCGGTCAAAAGTCATAGAATGGCGCATGAATTGGATTGTTTTGTGGATGGATTAGCTTTATTTTTTTCTTAGGGATAAAAAAAAATGCAATTTTGGGAAAAATTGATTGCGACTCGAAGGAATTCATTTTTTAATCGCTTACACTCTCAATTTGCTTCAACTCTTCCTGCAAATTCTTTTTCATAATAATTCTTCGCACAAGCATCCTTCTGTAATGTTCCTTTGTAATTTTTCCTGTATATTAAACGATAGACGAATAAGACGTGCACAATTTTTAACTTGATCATAATTAATTGTATTTTAAAGAACAGTTATGGTCTGAAAAACTCTTTAGAGATTTATGTTTAAGAAACTAAGAAATATCTCTGAAACATGTTTCTTTGGGAAAGTGATTCTGAAAAATTATTTCTTGAAAGAGAATTGAATTCAAATGTCCCGGAAAATTCGAAGAATTCTCTTTCGAGAAATGATTTTATTAAAATGATGTTTATGGGGAGAATAAATGATTTTGCGACTTAAGCACAAATTCTACAAATTGAACTAGATTGGTTTTACATATAAGATATTTGTAACAAGCGTACGTAACGTCAAACACGTGTGCAATAAATATATGCATGAAATTTTATACTAGTATAGTTATCTATATATAGTTACATAAAATAAAGTAAAACGTAATGTTACTAATTATTAATGAGTTAATAATTCTTCAATGTTACACTCGATAAATATGATAAATAGATGTAACCAACAAAGACAAATAAATAAGTAAATAAATGAGTGCATGCAATTATTGATTAAAAGTCAAGAAAATTCTATCGTTGAAATTTAACCAATTTCTTTAAATGTTTTAGCAATTATTAAATAAAATTCAGTGCAAGGAATTTTGTATACTGCTCAAAATAACCAATCTCATCTCTTTTTACTTATCTCTGCAATAAGTATTTGGTTAGTTTAAATTTAAGTTTAATTCATCTTCTCTACGATCACCAAATCGTTGAAATTTGACAAATTTCTATTCTCTTCTATTTTTGTAAATTATTCAATCTCAAAATAATTGTATCCATCTTTACTTACTCTTGTAATAAATTACTCGATCATTTCAAAATATTCTTAAATCTCATAAATCCTACTTCAAACAAATTTTCAAAAACTGAGTGTGACTCCAAATTCAAAAGTTTCTTCTCAAATAAAAATAATACCCACTAGAAAATAATCTTCCATTCTAATTATTCTTCTAGAAATAATTCACCTGTTTGAAAAGTCCTCGATTTATTTATTTCAAAATCTCAAACCAATTCTGT